TAAATGCCTGGAGGTGGAAAAAAGAAAAAAGTGCATCGGCCTCGGAGTCTCAACGTGTATTATATTTTGTGTATGAAAGGCATCTAAAATAATTGTTTTTTTCAAAACAAGGATTCATTTTCTAGCAGATTTTACACTGTTGTTGATCAGCTAAAATGTGCTCGTGTTCAAATACAAATTTAAAAACTTCTCTTTACACTTCTTTTATTATACATGTATTTAAAACAATGTATGATCTGAAATTGTGTGAAAATTTTTGTTAGTGTTTAAATCTTTGATATAGACAAATAAACTGATTATTAAAAGTCTCCTATAAATCTTGAGAATCCTTGGCTCATTGCAGCATCCCTTCTTTCGGTTAGTAAAGACACTGGCCAATCTACAGCCAGCCACTTATACTAGTTGCAAAAGAGGCTCAAAAAGGACATTGAACAGGTTCATCCTATGCAATAATCTCTCTGTGTCTGAAAGGTAAATATGTGTTAATTTACTGTGCTCAAAATCTTGTGCTTGATAGGTTGCATCTTGAAAGAAACCCAAAATTTTGATGGAGATTTAAAAAAAACTGAAAAATTCAAATTCATCTGGAATTCAATACTTTCAAATAACTTATTTTGTGGAGTCTACATTTTTATGCTTTGAGAAATTATATTGATTCATTAGGATTCCAATTTGTGGATGAATCAAGTTTGAGTTGTTACTTGTTTGAAATTTTGCATTTCAGTAGGATTTAACATCGAAGGAGTCTTGATTACACAAAAAACGACGAAAATATACACCCATTAAAATAAGTGACTTTAAGGTATTTTGAATAGTTTATAAATAATTTTCAACCGTTTCATAACTTTCTAGCTCACCTGATTCGAGGGCTCAAGTGAGCCTTTATGATCAAAATTTGTCAAATCTCTGTCATTGTTGTCATCGTCATAAACTCTTTACATTTTTATCTTTTCACAAACTACATTTTCATCTTCTCAAGAACTTGTGGGCTGATTTCATCAAAGCTTGGTACATAGTATCCTTGGATGAAGACAATTTAAGTTTCTTCAAATAAAGGGCCACTCCCTTTTTCAAGCGGAGATACATGTAATAATAAATTAGTAAAAAAAAAATCAATGACATCATTCAAAAATCTTCTCAAGAACCACTGAGCCAGGAAAGATGTAACTCGTGTGGAATCATCCCAAGGTAGTGTAGATTCAAATTTTGTTGTTTTTTTTAAATGATGACCCCCAGGGGTAGTAGGGGACCACAATAGAAGATCAAAGATTTACCGAGGTATATATATAATTGGTCTTATTTATATCTAAGACCTTCAGGAGGTCTAGATTCAAGATTGTTCAAATCAAGACCCCTGGGCTAGGTTGGGGCCACAATGGGGGACAAATAATTAACATAGAAATATGCCGAAAATATTTCTCAGGAATAGTAAACCATGATTATTCATATTTATATGGAAGCATCCTCAGGTAGTGTAGATTCAATTTTGATTAAACCATAACTCCCAGGGTAGGGTTGAGCCATGATGGGGGATCAAAGTTTTCCATAGAAATTTTTATAGAAGAAATCTGTATAAATCTTTTTTTCAAGAATGAAAAAGCCATGATCATATTGATATTGAGACACCAATTTAGGAAGACAATCTTTTAAAAAAAAAGTTTCAAGATCAGCAACGTGCAAAGTTATATGTTATGTATTGATATGGAGGCATCCCCTGCTCCCCTAAACTCCCCCCCCCCCCCTTTCAGTAAAATTTTCATTTCTGAACTGATAAGTGCTTATCTAGCCATTATACTCAGGCGAGCGATGTGGCCAATGGCCTCTTATTTTGAAATGTTCTATTTCTTTTGTATTTTTTCATATTTTTTTTTTATCAGATCTCCACGTTTCTTTTTCAGGTTGTATGATAGATCTGCAGGAGTTTCAGGTGTGAATGCAAGAAGCAAATGAGAGCTCTTTCTCTCAGAACTGTTAATGAAAGGAAACTGTCTACTTGATGTCTTTCAGTGCCACTGCTTCAGAATGGGTGATCTAAATGTCAGCTTTATTTGTCATCATGCCTGCTGGGACTGGCGAGGGGATACGACCCCAAACCCCTCAAAGGACTCAGCCAAATTGTGATATTGGTGACCCTTTACATGTCAAATTTTTAAACAATGTTCTAAACATTTTGTAATAAAACATGTACGTAAGAATGAAAATGTCCTCATGATTTTTCTCATACAACTATCAGTGATTTTATCCTTCAATCATAGCTTTAATGTTCATGTTGTTTTTGTTATTGGTTACTAATAGTACTGCCTCTTATGTAGAACTTTTTAAGTTATTTTTGTGTTACCTCTATTTGTTTTGTTTAACATTTAATGACAATAATGTCAATTTCTGCAAATTGGAATTTTTCGTTTAAACATTCTTGAAAAGGAATAAGTCATATGCCATATTATATTTATCAAATATTTGAATAGTAAAAAATAAATGTGTGGGTGTATATTTAAATACCCAGCTAGTTGAAAGTTCCAGTCAGAATTAAAAGATATCATACAATGTTGTAAGTTATCGTCCAGTGGATATTAATTACAATTTATGCTTGACAGCTCTTGCTCTGTCTTGGTTGTGAATACATTTGTATTTTAAAAGGTCATTCTATGCATTGAATTTATTTTAATTGTCAAATATTTGACATACACCACAAACAGATAGTAATTAAGTGAAAAGGAAAGTAGATGAAGAAAATACAAAATCTGGAATTTCAAAATTAAATATTTTCTATCAATTAAACAATCATTTCATAAATGTTAAGATTTTATTAAATATATGTACAAATATTGTAATACTACCATGTATTATGAAATGCTGAAATGAAAAAACAGATCTTAATCTTATTTAATAGTTCAAACTTTGTATATGTATTATATTATAGAATACAATGTTTGGAAAAAACATAATTTGTTACTTTTTTTTATTGGACAATATATTATGGAGGCTGGTATGCTTTGTTTGACAATTTACTTATTTTGTTGTTCAATCAATGTAGATGATCTTTATGAGCTGAAATCAGTCAGAGATCATGGGCATAGAGGAAAAAAAAAACAATTAATGTTATATAAAATTTACTAGCAAACTAAATGTATTACAAATGTTCCTTTTATCTACAAGTACAGGTAAACACAATGCATTGTGAAGAATTAAATGGCCTTCAAAAGTTTTAAAAAGTTATTTTCCCTTTTCGTTTTCTTCTTTTCATTTATTTAATTTTTATTTTAGATAAAAAATTAATTTTAAAAACCAACTTTCAATTCACATAGGAAATCGTGACAGCTGTTACATATCATTGTCAAAAAAGTTTTTAATCACTGACTTTTTTCCCAAAAAAATCTGATTCTAAAATATATTTACATGTACTTAATGTTCTATTTATAAAATGTTTGACTCTATTGATTATTTCCATTATTTCCAGTATCCTCATTAATGTAGCGGTTTGTATTCTGCTGAATGTTTCGTGTGTTAGGGATTGTTGGTAGGAATGTAGAGCAGCTTGGTAATTCCCTGTAATCTGTTGACAAATCCCTAGGATCTCCCATGATATATCTTTTTCTCATTCGAATATGTATGTCCCCGGATCATGGTGAACAATATTTTGTAGATCATTTAGAGCTCTTTGTGTTCTCACTGAGTCTACATGCCTGTAACACAACACCTCTAACTTGTGTATGAGAACATAGAGGGGGATAAATAATCCAGGGGATCCACACTGTAACACTGAGTGTTGTTCAGGCACTAGTTCATTAATGTAACATATTCTATTGCTTAGACAAATATTCCATGCTACAGCCATTCTCATCTTTGTAGACCAGGGAAGTCTCCCTACAGCCTCGCTATATCTTTGTGCATTTACAAGTCCCATAAACACTACATATGGCTGCGATAACTTGGCATTTGTAGCTTCTATAACAGTTAAGGCTTCCCAGTAACTGAATGTCTTGTAATAATACATAGCAACGTACAACATGTCAGAAATACACCAAAACTTCGCAGCTAATTTCAGCATATAAAGGGATGGTTTGTCAATGAAATATATCCCTCTATTCCTACATAAATTATTATCCACTTCGAGTGGTATTTAATGTGTTTAAATGTTAATTAAAATAAAAGCTGTGCCCTGGAGTATATAAGATGTGCTCTTCTGTAAGATATATTTTTGATATTGTGTCATCGGTAAAACGGTAAACCTTCTTAGAGCATTGAGAAACTTCAAACAGGGGTGTAGGTCAAGTTTAGGTTGAAAATTGCGATATATATCCTTGAATAGATCTACTTCAAACATGACCTGAGAAACCAAAGCATGTACATCTATACAAACAGATTGCCTAGGATTTTGAAGGACACTTATGACATCAGATTTGAAGGATCGACTGTGAAGAAGGCATACTAAACCCTTCTCATATAATCCATGGAGTCTGATGAACAAATCTTTTTGTGCTTTACCGTGAATAGTACATAGAAACATGTTGTTCTCTGGAATAAAGAAATTTGGACAGATGCCTTCATACACCCATTTCAAGATAAGTTTAAAACAGACCCAAAAACACTGCAGGAGATTTTGTGGACACCAGTGAGGCATCATGTTTTGTTGAATCACCCAAAAAACAGCCGTCTTGATGTGATAAGAACACAGTAATTTCTCCTCTTCGCTTAATCCACTATTAATGCATTCTTTTAAGAACAATTTTAGCAGACCGTACGTTAAGAACTGGCAATGACTCATTGAAGAAACTAGAACTTTCTCCGCCAAAGAGAAAGAAATTCTCCATTCTTTGTCAACGTGATTTCCTAGTTTGTGTCCTACTGCTACAAAGTGGCATCCATTTCTGAGTATTTCATCAATGATACGAAGCGGGGGCCATGAGTGACATCTGTTTATCCATTGGAAGGCGGGAGGAGGCCAAAAGTCACAAGCAAAACATACGGCTGTGTCATATTCATGTGACTCAATAACAATGTTACAACAAGGACCATGTTCTATAGATTGAGGAAGAGCGTCTGCATTTAGAACTTGATAGATAGAGTCTGTTATTGATTCTTATACATGCATTCATTAGAGGTCCCCAGTGAGTCTGTGTCAATAACTCAAGTAAAGTAAATCCAGGTGGACTTTCCGAACAATCACAAAGAATAAGTGTTTTTCTATTTAAATCATAATTCTGAGCCTGTTCCAAGTCCCAGATTATTTTGTAGTCCTTTGGCCAAACCATTGCGTCCATAGCTGACCCCTGTAGCCTGAATCCTTCCCTATAACTTCCACTAGACATCGCTGCAAGCTTATTACTTGTAAAGTTTACTTGATTTACTATAATCTCCTCCATGTCTAGTATTTCTCTCCTCATGGTCACCTGTTCAGAGGTCCCTACTATGTGACACAGTCCCGCAAACACAGACTCTGATAAATGCTGGATACCCAAATCACTGTTTAAAAAATAGATTTTATACAATGATAATGCGAAAAAATATATATATAATGTAATTTAGTTGATTTGAACATAATTTATTGCCTTTAAACTTTACAAATTGAATTATACTTAAGAATACTAGTAGTGTACATTTGATTTAATGATTCAAAATTAATGCATCAAAAATGGGCTCAAAAATGGAATCAAAAAAATAATTAGAGATTGGGCAAAAGTTTTAAAAATTAAACGTTTTTTGTGAATATTGGTATAATTAATGAGTAAATGTATATCAAAGTCTAAGCATATAATGTCATTGTTTTATCACTTTTACAGTTCAACACTTCAAGAACTACTATACTATATCCTTGATTGTTGTTTAAAATCTCAAAAAATATATGTGTTACTGATCTTTATTCATAATTAAATATACAAATCTAATTTTTATACTTACACCCAACTAGAGGAAGTCATTTTCATATACTGTTCAGGAAAGAGGAAGATTCTAAAAAAAAGAAGAGGAAATCCCTTGAGATGCTCGACCCGCTGGCTTGTTTCAGTTTGCACATCGATCTATGTACATATGTACATCTGTTTAAAAATTAGATTTACATAATATTTTAGCACTTCAAAATAATTAGATCGATCTATATAATTATTTAAACCTACCCTTCTCTCAACAGTTCAAGGTCACTTAGATACATGTAGTTGTGTTTTCTAAATATATGAAAAGAAGTTTTCTGGTGGAAATTTTATATTAAGTAGGGTTACATTATCGTTAAATCCTACGACATTTAAATTTTAGCATTAAAAATTCTGATTAAAAGTAAAAATCACAAGAATATATTGATAAAAAATTCAAGTATTTTTTTTTTATATTTTATTGTAATATGTTAGATCTTCATGTGCTAACTCTTATAAAATTATTAATTTGAAATTTTTTATCAATATATTCTTTGTGATTTTTACTTTTCTTATTATTTTCTTATGGATAAACGTGGTAGGTTCTCATGTCACACAAAGATTGCCCATGACCTACGGGTTTGTCATGACCTTGACGCAAGGTCTTTGGGGAAGTTCAAGGTCACAGGAAGAAAAATTTCATAATTTGTGTTTGGTCATATCTTTCTTATGAATAAACTTGGTAGGTTCTTATTTCACACAAAGATTGTTCATGACCCAAGGGTGAGTCATGACCTTGACACAAGGTCATTTGGGGAAGTTCAAGGTCACTGGAAGAAAAATTTCATAATTACTCTTTGTAACATATCTTCATTATGGAAAAACTTACTTCTGAAAAACCCAGCGGGGGGTATTTTGTCCCGTTTGGACAGTTCTAGTTAGTTTAAACATTCTTGAAGAGGAACAAGTCATACGCCATATTATATCTATCAAATATTTGAATGATAAAAAATGAATGTATGGGTGTATATTTTAATACCCAGCTAGTTGAAAGTTCCAATCAGAATTAAAAGATATCATACAATGTTGTAAGTTATCGTCCTGTGGATATCAATTACAATTTATGCTTGACAGCTCTTGCTCTGTCTTGGTTGTGAATACATTTGTATTTTAAAAGGTCATTCTATGCATTGAATTTATTTTATTTTATGTCGAATATTAAACCATAAACAGAAAGTAATGAAGTAAAAAGGAAAGTAGATGAAGAAAATACAAAATCTGGAATTTAAAAATTAAATGTTTTCTATCAATTAAACAATCATGTCATAAATGTTAAGATTTTTTTTTAATAAATGTACAAATATTGTATTAATACCATGTATTATGAAATGCTGAAATGAAATAACAGATCTTGATCTTATTTAATAGTTCAAACGTTGATTATGTATTATATTATAGAATACAATGTTTGGAATAAACATGTTAATTCTTTATTTATGGAGACTGGTATGCTTTGTTTGACAATTTCATTATTTTGTTGATCATGAGAGTAAAAAAAACCAATCAATGTTAAGTAAAGTTAACTAACAAACCTATTACAAAGCTTCATTTTATATAAACACAATGCATGATAAAGAATTAAATTGTCTGCAAAAGTTTGAAAAATTGATCCCCCCATTTTAATATTGCTTCTTTTGATTTATTAAAATTTTTGAAAAAAAAGTTAAAAAACCGACTTTCAATTCACAAGGAAAATTGTGACAGCTGCTTCTTACTATTTGTAAAAAATAGATTAGAATTGTTGAATTATTACAAAAAACCCGATTCTAAAATTTATTTATTAAAATGTACTCAGTGAAGATTAATAAAATATTAGACTCTTTGGATTAGATCCATGATGTGCTGTATCCTCATTAATGTAGCGGTTTGTGTTTTGTGGAATGTTTCTTGTGTCAGGGATTGTTGGTAGGAATACAAGGCAGCTTGGTAATTTCCTATGACCTGTTGACAAATACCTAGGATCTCCCATGATATGTCTTTTTGTTCCTCGGATATGTATGTCCCCGAATCATGGTGTACAAGATCTTGTAGATCATTTAGAGCTCTTTGTGTTTTCACTGGGTCTACATGTCTGTAACACAAGACCTCTAACATGTGTACGAAAACATAGAGGGGGATACATAAACATGGACAAGTACACAATAATTCAGACTGTTGTTCTGGCACCAATTCATTTATGAAACAAGTGTAATTGTTCAGAAAAATATCACATGCTACAGCGTTTCTCATCTTTGTAGACAAGGAAAGTCTCCCTATAGCCTCGCTATATCTTTGAGCATTGACTTGTAGCCCATATACTACATATGGCTGTGCTAACTTGGCTTTTGTAGCTCTTATTACAATTAAAGCTTCCAAGTATCTGAAGGTCTTGTAATAATACATAGCAATGTAAAGCATGTCGGAAATAAACCCAAATTTAGCAGCTATTTTCAGCATGTAAAGGGACCTTTTATTTGTTAAATATATCACTTTATTTCTACATGTGCTAGTGTCCACTTCGAGTGGTAAAGAATCTGTTAAATCGTTGAGTAAAATAAAAGCTGTGTCCTTGAGTGTGAGAGCTGTACTCCTCTGTAAAGCAAGTTTCTGATATTGTGTAAGGGGTAAAATTGTCAACCTTTCTATGGCAATAAGGGATTCAATACTATTATACAAGTCTGTTATGGGTAGATTGGTGTTCTTTATCTCACTGAGTAGATTTGCTTCAAACTGGACCTTAGAAACCAAAGTGTGTTCATCTGTACAAACAGATTGCCTAGGATTTAGAAGGACCCTTATAACATGGGATCTGATGAATGGACTGTGAAAAAGGCATGCTAAACCCTTTTCATATAAACAATGGAGTCTGATGAACAATTCTTTTTGTGCTTGACCATGAATATTACTTAGGAACATGTTGTTTTCTGGAATAAAAAAAATTTGGACAGACGCCTTCATACACCCATTTCAAGACAAGTTTAAAACAGACCCAGAAACACTGCAGGAGATTTTGTGGACACCAGTAAGGTATCAAATTTTGTTGAATCATCCAAAAAACAGCTGTCTTCATGTGATAAGAACACAGCAATTTATCCTCTTCATCTAATCCATTGCGAAAACATTCTTTCAAGAACAATTTAAGCAGACCGTACGTTAAGAATTGGCAATGATTCATACAGGAAACGAGAGATTGCTCTGCCAAAGAGAAGGAAATTCTCCATTCTTTATCAGTGTGATTTCCTAGTTTGTGTCCTACTGCTACAAAATGGCATCCTTTTCTGACAATTTCATCAACGATAGGAGGCGGGGCCATGAGTGACATCTGTTTCTCCACTGGAAGGCAGGAGGGGGCCAAAAGTCAGAGATAAAACATAAGGCTACGTCATATTCTATTACCCCAATAAAACAGTTACAACAAGGACCATGTTCCCTATATTCAGGAAAAGCAGCAGAAACCGTTATTCTTCTGAACTCAGAACTTGATATATAGAGTCTGTCGTTAATTCTTATACAAGGATGGGATTGTGTCTTCTACGTATCTGGGTTGGTGGGTGCATGGATTTATTTTTATATCCCCCGCTTGAAAAGCGGGAGGTATATAGTGATCGGGATTTCCGTCCGTCTGTACGTCTGTCCGTCCGTCCGTCCTTCTGTCCGTCCGTCTGTTACGCTTTTTCTCTTATCCGCAACTCCTCTTATACTACTGAGTGAAATTTAATGAAACTTTCACAGAATCTTTATTACATAATGCCATTGTGCACCTCCTATTTTACTTTTTTATTCGACACGTATTTTACGTTTCCCAGAGCAAAACATTGCCATTATGGGAGGCGGGGGGTATCATTTAGTGAGCTCATTGCTCATAGTACCTCTAGTTTTTTTTTTAGTTGACATAGGTTCAACAACAACAATCATTTCCAAGTACGTGTATGACAGTATAGATCCACATCAAAGTAATGGTAATGTAATGCATTACTTTAAGAAAATAGAGTAATGGTAATTTAATGCCCAAATTGTTGATGTAATGGCAGTGTAATGCATTACTTTGTTACGAATTCGGCATTCTCCACTATGATTATGAATAAGTAAACATGGTAAACAAGATGTTCCCTGTTATATGAGTCGCTAAAATGATGATTCGATGGATGATTGAATGAATGATATGAATAGACATTTATTCTTATTTACTTGCTATTATTGATTAATGTTATTTACTTATTAGAATTTATTATAAGCTACGTGCAAATTGTTCACCTCGTACCGAATTTCCTCCATGTTTTGAGGAATATGGAACGTAAAGAAACCATTTTCTGGTCCATAAATGTAATAACATAGTACTTAATGTGTTTACCTTTGATAATTGGGATAATTAATAAATCCATTCACTGATAATTAGAGTAAAACATTACAATTACACTCTGCTTTTCATAATTAGCGGTAAACGCTATAAAAGATATTCGAAACACCTCGGATGAGTATAATAGTTAACCGCATCCGAAGTTTTCCAGCTATAAGCCTGGTTCCATGTCCCTGTTTTGCTTAATTTACACCGCGTCACTAGGATGAGACAGGGGACCAGGCTATCCAGCTATTAGACGTTATGGCGCCAAATCTCATGCATTGGCGTCATAAAGGATGTAAACGCTTTATATACGAGCTCCCAGCTTCTAACGGTCAGACTCCTGCGGTCTCACCCACGGAAAGGTCCACTAGACGGACCAATTCCGAATCAGGCAGTCTCCCCACCAGAAAGGGTTCTGTTTGAGACAGAGAGATGAAACAAATTGACATGATGGGTAATTATTAACCTGAATATTGAATTTGATAGCAACGTTTGATTGCTTTATTCATTCATTTTACTCAGACACAAGTAGTGGTCTGAACTCATCGTTATTGTTTACTTTTGAGTAGTATTTACTAAGGCACAAGAAGTGACCTGAACTTGATATTTATAACTCCTGAAATTATTACTAACAAATGCATGGTGCATTGTATTGAGTTTTGTAGTGAGGAATAAGCATAACTTTGTCCCTATACAATTAGTTGTTTGCTATAACTTTTGAATATTAACAAATGCTAGACGCATTGTATTGAGAAATTAGCATAACTTTTTGTTCCTATAGTTGTTTGCTATATAACCTGACATTTTATATTTATACTCACAAGTGAAGAAATCACTCGTTGAATCTTTATTCGAGACCCAAAGGCATTAGGTCTATTAGTATTTATTAAAGGCTTTGTTTAAGGCTGGTTTTTATATTAACATTTGTTGGAAAGGGTGGTTGGTTTGTTTTTATTTCAAGTGAAGACCGCAGAGCCAAAGAAGAGTTTTGTGAATATTTATTTGAATAAAATCTAAATAAAATATTAAAAACAATTCATATCCTGTTGTTTTTCGTTCAACATTCTGATTATGGAGCCCCACAATGTTAGGCCGCTAAACATAGACAGCCGTAAGTCGTAACAACTTTACTATCTAATTCGCCCAAAGCCTGTCCACATGTCTAGCCACAGTAAAGAAAGGACGAAAGGACACTGAGTGAAATTACAGTCTATGGTCATGCAGAAATTCCAGTTGTAAGGTTAGGGTTGTTGTCAAGGCAGCATTTAGTGTTGTAGTATCATTAACTGAGAAATTAAAATCCAAGATGGTACCTTCAGTTTGAATTCTGTATTTCAGGAGACAATATAGTTCAAAAGTGGATACTAGCATTTTAGAGTTTAGGTGTGATGACCATTGAAATGATTGAGGGAGAGCCACCATATTTGAATAAAACTCCTTTAAGGGTAAGTTCAGTGTTAGGAAAGAAGACTTTATGTAGCATCTTCTGTATCTGAAGGATAATTATATTTATCTTTTTATACCCCCCGCTTGAAAAGCGGGAGGGTATATAGTAATCGTTAATTCCGTCCGTCTGTCCGTCCGTCCGTCTGTTACGCTTTGGGGTACCCATCTCTTATCCTCAACTCCTCTTAAACCACTGAGTGAAACTTTCACAGAATCTTTATTACATATAGCCATTGTGCACCTTCTATTTTATTTTTGATCCGACAAATATTTTGGGTTTCCTGGCCACCGCAAAACATGGACTTTGCCATTATAATCATATGGGAGGCGGGGGTATCATTTAGTGAGCTCATTGCTCACAGTACCTCTAGTTTTTAATTTATGTCTTTCTTTTGCAGAAGGGAGGGTATATTGTTTTGTGCTGTCTGTAGGTCGGTCTGTCAGTAGGTCCACGAAGAGCTTCTTTTCACTTTTTTTGCAGAGGTTGCACATACTGAACTGAAATTTGAATAAGAAAATCCAGGTCAAGTTCTGTTCTGGGTACAATTGAGCAATTTATGATAGAGCTATGCACCTTGGACTTAGAAAAAAATTCAAACTATTTGCATTCTTTGAATGTATTGGGGGGTGGGTGAAAATCTCTTTCTGTTTTGTTAAATATTCACATGTATTATAAAAGTACTGTCAAATCTTGTTATCTTAAGACTCAAACTCAATCTGACTGAGAGAAAATTTTAAAAAGTAAAAGGATTTGAGACTTTGAATTTAAACCCATCAGTAATAAGAGGAAGGGTCTTCCAAATCATGCACTTTGACATATTTATGGTTTTCAACATAGCATACTGAAGTTCAATTGTATTACAATGTGAATCAATGAATCAGATGTTAAAATTACTCTTGTGGGCTCTTATAGCAACAAATGGTAAACCTGAAATCAAAGAGAAACACAAAAATGCCTGGAGGTGGACGTAGAAAAAGTGCACCAGCCTCGGAGCTCTAAAAGTGTATTATATTTTGTGTAAGAAAGGCATCTAAAAAAAATTTCAAAACAAGGATTCATTTTCTAGCGATTTTACACTGATGTTGATCAGCTTAAATGTGCTCGTGTTCAATACAAATTTAAAAACTTCTCTTTACACCTCTTTTATTATACATGTCTTCCAAACAATGTTTGATCTGAAATTGTGTGAAAATTTTGTTAGTGTTTAAATTTTTGATAAAGACAAATAAAATGATTATCAAAATTCTCCTATAAATCTTGAGAATCCTTGGCTCACTGCAGCATCCCTTCTTTCGGTTAGTAAAGGCACTGACCAATCTACAGCCACTTATACTAGCTGCCAAAAAAGCTCAAAAAGGACATTGAAAAGTTCATCCTACGCAATAATCTCTATGTGTCTAAAAGTTATATATGCATTAATTTACTGTGCTCAAAATCTTGTGCTTGATAGGTTGCATCTTGAAAGAAAACCAAAATACTGCTGGAGATTTAAAAAAAAAAACATGAGCACTGAAAAATTTAAATTCATCTGGAATTGACTAGTCTCAAATCACTTATTTTTTGGAGTCTACATTTTTATGGTTTGAGAAATTATATTGATTCATTAGGATTCCAATTTGTAAAAGAATCAAGTTTGAGTTGTTACTTGTTTGAAATTTTGCAGATTAGTAGGATTTAATATCGAAGGAGTCTTGATTACACAAAAACCAACGAAAATATACACCCATTAAAATAAGTGACTTTATGGTGTTTTGAATAGTTTATAAGTAATTTTCAACCATTTCATAACTTTTTAGCTCACCTGAGTCGAGGGCTCAAGTGAGCTTTTCTGATCAAAATTTGTCCAATCTCTGTCATTGTTATCATCATCATAAACTTTTCACATTTTCATCTTTTCACAAACTGCTATACATTTTCATCTTCTTATCAAGAACTAGTGGGCAGATTTCATCCAAACTTGGTGCACAGTAACCTTGGATGAAGGGGATTTAAGTTCCTTCAAATAAAGGGGAGATACATGTTATAACAAATTGGTAAAAAAAATCAATGACATCATTTAAGAACTTAAGAACCACTGAACAAGGAAAGATGAAACTCATCCTAAGGTGGTGTAGATTCAATTTTTTTTTCAAATGATGACCCCTTGGGGTAGGAGGGGGCCACAATAGAAGATAAAAGGTTTACCGAGGTATATATATATAGCAAAAATCTTTGAAAATCCTCTTCTCAAGAACTGCAAAGCTATGATTTGTCTTATTTATATCTAAGCACCTACAGATTCAAATCAAGACCCCCGGGGCTAGGGTTGGGGCCAAAATGGGGGACAAAATATTAACATAGAAATATGCAGAAAATACTTCTCAGGAATAGTAAACCATGATTATTTACATTTATATGGAAGCATCCTGAGGTAGTGTAGATGCTAGTTTGTATAACCATACCCCCAAGGATAGGGTTGGGCCATTATGGGGGATCAAAGTTTTCCATAAAATTTTTTAGAAAAAATCTGTATGAATCTTTTTTTAAGAATGGAAAAGCCATGATTATAAATATTTATATTGAGACATCGATTTAGGAAGACAATCTTTAAAAAATATCAAGAACAGCAACGTGCAAAGTTATATGTTATGTATTGATATGGAGTCATCCCCTGCTCCCCTCAACTCCCTCCCCTCCTTCAGTAAAATTTTCAATTCTGAACTGATAAGTGCTTTTCTAGCCATTATACTCAGGTGAGCGATGTGGCCAGTGGCCTCTTATTTTGAAATGTTCAATTTCTTTTGTATTTTTTCATGTTTTTTTTTATCCACGTTTCTTTTTCAGGTTGTGTGATAGATCTGCAGGAGTTTCGGGTGTGACTGCAAGAAGCAAATGAGAGCTCTTTCTCGCAGATCTATTAATGAAAGGAAACTGTCTACGTGATGTCTTTCAGTGCCACTGCTTCAGAATGGGTGATCTAAATGTCAGCTTTATTTGTCATCATGCCTGCTGGGACTGGCGAGGGGATACGACCCCAAACCCCTCAAAGGACTCAGCCAAATTGTGATATTGATGACCTTTTACATGTCAAATTTTTAAACAATGTTCAAAACATTTTGTAATAAAACATGCATGTTAAGAATGAAAATGTCCTCATGATTTTTCTCATATAACTATCAGTGATTTTATCGTTCAATCATAGCTTTAATGTTCATTTTGATTTTGTTATTGGTTACTTATAGTACTGCCTCTTACATAGAACTTTAAATTATTTTTATGTAACCTCTATTTGTTTTGTTTTATATTTGATAACAATTATAATGTCTATTTCTGCAAATTGGAATTTTTAGTTTAAACATTCTTGAAGAGGAACAAGTCATAAGCCATATTATATTTATCAAATATTTGAATGATAAAAAAAATTTAATTTATGGGTGTATATTAACCCAGCTAAATAAAATATCCAGTCAGAATTTTAGGATATATTACAATGTTGTAAGTTATCGTCCAGTGGATAACAATTACATTGTGTTTGACAGCTGTTGGCCTGTCTTGGTTGTGAATATTTTAAAAGTCATTCTATGCATTGAATTTATTTTAACTGTCAAATCTATGATGTACACCACAAACAGAAAGTAAAAAAGGAATGTAGATTAAGAAAATACAAAATCTGGAATGTCAAAATTTAATATTTTATCAATAATGAAACAATCATTTCATAAATGTGAAGATTTTATTAAATATATGTACAAATATTGTAATAATACCATGTATTATGAAATGCTGAAATGAAATACTAGTAACAGATCTTGATTTTATTTAATAGTTCAAACTTTGTATATGTATTATATTATGGAATACAATGTTTGGAAAAAAACATAATTTGTTAAATTTTTTCTTGACAACATATTATAGGGGTGGTATGCTCTGTTTGACTATTTATTTTGTTGATAATGAGAGTTAAAAAAAATGTTTATATATGAATTTAACTAACAAACATATTACAAAGCTTCCTTTTATATAAAAACGATGCATTACAAAGAATCAAATGGTCTGCAAAAGTTAGAAAAAATGACTTTCCCATTTATTTCTTCTTTTTATTTAGGGATCTATTTATTTAAATTTTTGAAGATAAAAATTTTAAGTTTAAACAAACTTTCTATTCACAACGGAAATCGTGAAAGACGTTACTTATCATTGTCAAAAAGTTTTGAATCACTGAATTTTTACAAAAAAAAACTGATTCTAAAATTTATTTACATGTACCTAATGTACTATTAATAAAATGTTAGACTCTATGGATTAAATCCATGATTTGTCGTATCCTCATTAATGTAGCGGTTTGTATTTTGTTGAATGCTTCTTGTGTTAAGGATTGTTGGTATGAATACAGAGCAGCTTGGTAATTCCCAGTAATTTGTTGACAAATCCCTAGGATCTCCCATGAGATGTCTTTTCCATATCCAAGTATGTCCATTTCATTATGGTGTACAAGATCTTGTAGATCATTTAGAGCTCTTTGTGTTCTCACTGAGTCTACATGTCTGTAACACAAGACCTCTAACATGTGTAAGAGAATATAGAGGGGGACATATAACATAAAATTACTACACTGGATCCCAGACAGTTGTTCTGGCTCTAATTTATTAATGTAACAAATGATTTTGTTCAGGCAAATGTCCCATGCTATCTTTCTCATCTTTGTAGACAAGGAAAGTCTCCCTACAGCCTCAGTATATCTCTGTGGGTAAACACATCTCATATACACTGAATATGGTCGTCCTAACTTAGCTTTTATAGCTTCTATGACATTTAAAGCTTCCGAGTATCTGAATGTCTTGTAATAATACATGGCAATGTACAGCATGTCGGAAATGAACCCAAACTTAGCAGCTAATCTTAGCATGTAAAGGGACGTTTTGTCAGTTAAATATATCTCTTTATTTCTACATGTGTTGGTATTCACTTCGAGTGCTATTGAATCTGTTAAGAAGTTGAGTAAAATAAAAGCTGTGCTCTCGAGTGTAATAGCTGTACTCTGCTGTAAAACAAGTGTCTTGTATTGTGTAAGGGGTAAAATTGTGAACCTTTCTATAGCAATAAGGAACTTCATACAAGTGTGTAAGTCCAATATGGATAGATTGGTGTTATATATCTCATAGAATACATCTACTTCAAACTTGGACTTAGAAAGCAAAGCATCTTCATCTGTACAAACAGATTGCCTAGGATTTAGAAGGACACTTATAACATGGGTTCGGATGGATGGACTGTAAAGCAGGCATGCTAAACCCTTCTCATATAATCCATGGAGTCTAATAAACAATTCTTTTTGTGCTTGACCATGAATTTTACTCAGAAACATGTTGTTTTCTGGAATAAAAAAGTTTGGACAAAAGCCGTCATACACCCATTTCAGGATAAGTTTAAAACAGATCCAGAAACACTTCAGAAGATTTTGTGGACACCAGTTAGGTATCATATTTTGTTGAATCACCCAAAAAACAACCGTCTTCATGTGATAAGAACACAGTAATTTATCCTCTTCATTTAATCCACTGTTGATACATTCTTTCAAGAACAATTTAAGCAGACCGTACGTTAGGAATTGGCAATGATTCATTGAGGAAACTAGACATTTTTCAGCCGAAGAAAAGGAAATTCTCCATTCACTATCGGGGTGATTTCCTAGTTTGTGACCTATTGCTACAAAATGACATCCTTTTCTGACTATTTCATCAATGATAGGAGGCGGGGGCCATGAGTGACATCTGTTTCTCCACTGGCAAGCTGGAGGGGGCCAAAAGTCACAGACAAAACACATGGCGAAGTCATATTCAAATTCTGCAATAAAACCGTTACTACAAGGTCCATGTTCCCTAAATCCAAGAAAATGAAATTCATTCCTTCTGTACTTAGCACTTGATATATAGAATCTGTCATTGATTCTTATAAATGCATTCTCTATAGATCTCAGATGAGTCTTTGTCAATAGTTCAAGTAAAGCAAATCCAGGCAAACTTTCCGAACAATCACAGAGAATCAGTGTTTTTCTATTTAAGTCATAATTCTGAGCCTGATCCAAGTCCCAAATTATATTGTGGTCACTTGGCCAACACATCATGTCTACATCTGACCCCTTCAGCCTGAATCCTTCCATATAACTGCCACTTGTCTCCGTTTTGATTTTTTTATCACTTGAAAGTATATAATTCTGTATCACTTCGTCCATATCAAGTATTTCTCTCCTCATGGTCACCTGTTGAGAGGTCCCAACTATGCGACGCAGTCCCACAAACACAGACTCTGATAAATGCTGAATACCTAAATCACTGTTAAACAAATAGATTCAAAATTTTGATAATTTTGCATGAAAAAAAAAATTGAGTTAATACTTTTTTGGTAGTGTCTCTTAAATGTGATGAGTTAAAATGAATATATATCACGCCGGGCATTCTGATTCACACTTGAAACTTGAATCCGATAATAATTAGAGACAGGACAATAGTTTTAAAAATTAACATTTTGGGTTAATACTGGCGGTATATGATAATATAACTATTGAGTTAATGTGTATCAAGGCCAAAGTATACAGGTCGTAATCATTTTTACTTTTCAACAGTCCTCAAGATTTACATCATTACAGTTTAGAATCTTAAGAAATGTGTGGTTATAATCTTTATTCATAATAACCTATACAAATCTCATTTATATACTTACATCCAACTATAAGAAGCCATCTTCACATTATTTTCAGGAAAAAGGAAGTTTTCTACATCATTTTATCTTAGATTTAGGTGTCTTCCATAACAATGTTTTTCGATATCAATAAACACAGCAGTTATGTTTAAAATTTAGATCTTTACACCATATTTTATCTACAGTATGATACGGGAGGCCCGGGTTTGATTCTCGTTCGCGGCACCGCGTCAAACCTAAGATGTGAACATAGATAGTGACTGTTCTTTCGCTAAATGCTCGACATTAGAAGTGAAAGCCACGGGTCTTTCGGATATGACCTTTAAAATGTGGGTCTTGTGTCGCGGTAGGCGTTGGCAGGTTAAAGAACCCTCACTGATCAATGACCCTAGGTGCCGAGTATAGATCTAAATTTGAGGCCCTTCATTGGCATACGGTGACGTCTCCATATATGTGTGAAAAATTCTTGAGAGAGACGTTAAACAACATATAATCAATCAATCTATCCACAATATAATAAGATCGATCTGAATTAACTGTATGAACCGGCCTTACAAGGTCACACAGACAGCTTACTATAAATTTAGTTGCACGTAATTTCTAGTTGTAGTTTCTATATAAATATATGAGAAAAAAGTTTCCTGGTCAAAAAGTCGAGTTGCATTATAATCTGACACATTCTTATTTTAGCATTAAGAATTAAGAACTTTTCATTAATTATAAAAGTCATGAGAAAATTTATGAGAATTTTCCAGTGAACTTTCTTCTCCCATCAATTTGATTCAATATTTCAAGCGGTTTTTTCCCATTTCTTAGATATTTATTTCTTGTTCATTTCTATTTATTTATTCATTTTTTTAAATTTCTGCATGGTGAATTTTCTTCTCCCATCAATTCAATTTAACCTTAAAAGGGTCTGCCCACTAGTACTAGTTCACTAGTACGACGCCCCACTAGTGTAAAGGTTCACAAATCCGAAGGTTCACCAGTCCGACGGCCCACTAGTCTCGGGCGAAGGTTCACAAGTCCCATGTCCCACTAATCCAATTTGAAAAAAAGTTAATGAATTTATATTTACATATCAAAACAAGGATTGATAAATATAGCGTTTTATGCAATATACTAGAAGAGGAAAACCTTTGTTGATTATCTTCATGGAAAATGAATATGGCTAGAGTGCGTCCACTTATTTATCGAGATGTAATAGTCTATTATTTGTTGAGGCATGCCAAGAAAAACCGACCAGTTTCCACAGCGAAGAGGTCAGAATGTAAATGATTCATATTATCAATATTCTCCAATAATACTACATGTAGCAGAACAATTAACGGAAGCAGATCTGAGGTGGTGTATCCTATTTTAAATTAAAGAAAAAAACTTCTAACCCCAAGAAGTCGCTTCATATATATCCTGAAAATATAGTTCCTGTCAGAAACTTTAATTATTTACAAAGTATGTAAATTGCACCTGGCACAGGTCCAAAATTGTAAAAAAAAAATTAAAAATAAAATAAAAAGTATACCGGAAGGAAAATTCAAAGGAAAAAACAAAATGTGTTTGTGAAACACTATGCGCCCGACGGCAACAAAGTTCAAAAAAGCTATTTTAGCATATAGGTCAAGGTCACAGGGTCATTGACCTTGGTATAATTTGAAGGAACTTGACTAGTATGCATACCAATTATGAAGTCTCAATCTCCTATGAATTAAAAGTTATGGTGAAAGATCAAATAAGCTATTTTTAGCATAAAAGTCACATTCAGTGTCACAAGGTCATTTACCTTGATATCATTGGAAAGAGCTTAATTAGTGATGTATGATACTTAATATGAAGTCTCTATCTTTCATGATTCAAAAGTTACGGCGAAGGTTAAAGTTTGCAGACAAACAAACGAACAAACAGATAGACAGGACAAAACAATATACGCCCCGGATCTATTGATCATAATAGTCTCAGTTGATTTGATACGCAAGAGCATGCTCCATGTGTGAACAATTTCTAAAACGAGATAAAGTATTGACAAGCATACGGTGACGTCTCTATATGAGTGAAAAATCCTCGAATGGGACATTGAACAATATGCAATCAATCAAAGGTCAAAGTTAAAATGTTGTATTTTTGTGTTCGCATGAATAAGCCTTTTCATTTGACAAAAGCATATGAGTTTGTTGCAATGCACGGATTTCATATTCACTACACAATTAAAAAGATCCCTATAGATTGAACGCAACTTGTCCAAAAGTCAAGGTCAAAAAGTAAACATTGATATGAGCACCGGTATATCTAGCTTTCAAGTAATCATGGTAATGTTCTGTAATTAACAAAATAATTTGCTAGGGTTGTCAACCTAGTTATACCCTCGGCAAACGAGGTTTAGGGGGTATATAGAAATCAGTTTGTCCGTCTGTCCGTCCGTCCATTTGTCTGTCCGTCTTTTTCTTTTTCTGTCTTTCTTACGGAGAAACATTAGAATCTACTACTTCACACAAAGATTGTTAATGACCTAAGAGTGTGTCATGACCTTGACCCAGGGTCATTTGGGGAAGTTCAAGCTCACTTGAAGAAAGTTTTAATAATTTGTGTCCGGTCTATATCTTTCTTAAGAATAAACTTGATGAGTTCCCATTTCACGCAAAGATTGCTCATTACCAAAGGTTGTGTCATGACCTTGATCAAAGGTTATCTGTGCAAGTTTAAGGTCACTGAAAAAAAAAATCATAATTGGTACAGTACCGACCGGACACAACCTAACACCAGAGCGAACCTGGAGCGGACCCCGGGTTCGCTCGGGGTCCGCTTCGGGTTCGCTTTCAGAAATTTTGGGACCGCTACGGGTGCGCTCTGGGTTCGCTCCGCGTTCGCTCAGGGTCAGCTCTGGAGCGATTATGATTTTTATCAGAATAAAGAAAAAGGCAAATAATAATTGTTAACCCGATAAGAATATATTAATATACGCCCCCTATTTTACACACACATTGTCTTTAAAAATCGAAATCAATCATTTAATTATTTTATTTATGATTTCTCAATTTACGTGTTACATTAAATTATTCAAAATTTACATCAAAATTATTGATCTTCTTAATCTTCTTAGGCAGGAAAAACATGCGTGTATATCAAAAAATCTTCCTTCTGGGTGCACAGATTGAAGTCATTCCACCCAAATAGAATTAATAAACTGAATGACTTCACCAGAATTAACGGGAATAAGACCCAATTCCTGATGATACTTATTCTTTCAAATTAGTGTAACTCTACAGTTAGTTTGCGTCACCAACTCTCGAACAACCCACATAACTATGTATTGCTTACGCCTTTATTAATTCTTTTCCCCAATAATTAGTCCTAAAACATTTCAAAATTTATAATAGATCATAATTCATATGTTAAAATATCCCTTCTATATTATATGTCTCTGATTATTCTTTGTCAAGTATAGTTATGCCATTTTGAGAGAATGAAACAATGTACGATTTACTAAATGTCGTGGTTAATTAGCGTAATTAATTCGTTCAATTATGTAAATCGCACTTCACCTGAGTATACCCCGTTAAACCAAACGTATTTCATAGCGGTCCGGATTTCTTTCCTTAATGGTGTTTATATGAATTTCCAATTCAACATGCAACTATGTAAATATATAGTGTTTAGTAGTTTAGTAGTTTTGCTAGTAGTTTTTGGTTTCTCTTTTTCCCTTGTTCTTGACTTTTTTTTACTTTTTTCTTTGTCCTGAGGAAGGGACAGAGCGTCCCGAAAACTGTTGGTCATTTTTAATTCTTTATATACATCTTCCTGTACATGTATATTTTTGGGGAAAAAAATAGCTGCAGCAGACTTATAGAAAACAATTTGAGTACAATATTGGGAGGATGAATCATAGAAATTTAAGTAAAAGTCATCAGGCTTTATTATTAAAATCAAGTCTAATGATGAGAGTTTACAGTTATGATCTCTCTCTCTCTCTCTCCCTTTCTCTCTCTCTCTCTCTCTCTCTCCCTCTCTCTCTCTCTCTCTCTCTCTCTCTCTCTCTCTCTCTCTCTCTCTCTCGTCTACTGTATCTATTTATATTCAAATATTGGGCACGTTAATATTCCTGAACTGTTAGTATCTTGAGATGATATTATTTTACAATAATTGTCGAAGACAAACTATATTTCTTTTCTCCTCTTTTAGTCAGTAGAAATCGCTGCATTTCATTTCCGGAAATATGCATAGCATTTCCGACAATTTTTTATTTCATTTCCGACATTTTTTGTTTTCATTTCCGACATAATATTTCTTTCATTTCCGGAATTTACCTGTGCGGCAATTCAATGTTTTCTTAAAGTATTTATACCAAAATATTGATACAAAATGATAATAATAATAATAATAAAAAACAGCTTTACATTTTTGCATATATGTAGAACTAAGTCTAAGTAAAGGAGTTCAATGAGCATTAAAAACTTTTTCAACACATTTAATGTGCACCAAATAGAATGTCAGTGACAGCAGCATACTCTTGTCCAAGTCTTTGATAGATTTACAAAACTGGATTTCAATGATTTATTTCTGATTTATTCCTTAAAAATTTTCATAAGTTAAGTTATCAAATCTGTTACTATAGGTACTATATATGTATTTGAAAAATGTC